ACCTCCACAGCCATTGCAGCAGGATGAGACCAACCACAGCTCATCACAGCGATGAGCCCCATCTCCCCCCATATCCTCACCTCCACAGCCATTGCAGCAGGATGAGATGGGCCACAGCTCATCACAGCGATGAGCCCCATCTCCCCCCATATCCTCACCTCCACAGCCATTGCAGCAGGATGAGACCAACCACAGCTCATCACAGCGATGAGCCCCATCTCCCCCCATATCCTCACCTCCACAGCCATTGCAGCAGGATGAGACCAACCACAGCTCATCACAGCGATGAGCCCCATCTCCCCCCATATCCTCACCTCCACAGCCAGTGCTCCCATGCTCCGCAGCCAGGCCTCGGCCATGGGCAGCAGCGTGGCCCAGCCGGCCCGCGGGGGCATCGCCACCGCTGCCGCCATGCGCCGCAGCAAGTGGAGCCGCGCGGCACGGATATGGGTGTCCAGCGGTGTCGGGGTGGGCTGAGCCTCCAGCAGCGGCAGCACCCGCCTGCGAAAGCATCCCCAGCCCAACGCACCCCGGTTCGGTCCAAAAATGCCCCGTTTCACCCCAAAAACCGCTTCATTTCCACCTCTCCAAAATACAGCTCCTGCCCCCCAAAATACCCCAGTTCCCCTTCAAAATGGAGTTGTCACTCACAAATCCCCCACTTTACTCCCAAAATGCCCAGTTTCCCACTCCAGTTGCCCTCTTTCCCCCATAAACTCTTTGTTTCCCCCTCAAAATACATTTCCAAGCCCCAAAATACCCCGGTTTGCCCCCAAAATGCCCTGTTTTCCACTCCAGTTGCCCTCTTTCCCCCCCAAATGCTTCTTTCCTACCCCCAAAACTCCTGTTTCCCCCTCAAAATAGGGTTTATGCCCCTAAAATACCCCTTTTCTCCCCCAAAATACAGTTCACTGCCTCATTTCCCCCTCAGAACACAGCTCCTTCCCCAAATGCCCACCTTTCCCCTCCAGTTGCCCTGTTTTCCTTTAAAAATGCTTAATTCCACCCCCAAAATGCCCCATTTCCTCCTCAAAATGCAATTCCCACCCCATAAAAAGTCCTGTTGTCCCCCAAAATGCCCCATTTCCCTCCCAAATCCCCTATTTCCTCTCAAGTGTCCCATTTCCTTCCCAAATGCCCCATTTCCTCCCAAAATCCCGCTTTCATCCCAGTTTCGCTGTTTCCACCCCAAATGCCCCTTTTTCCTCCACCCCATACCCAATTTTCCCTTCCATTGTCCCATTCCCCCCCACATGTTCCATTTTCACCCTCAAGATCCCATTGTCCTCAAAAATGCCTCATTTTTCCTTCCAAGACCTCATTTCCCCCCCAAATACCCCATTTTTCTTCACCAAATCCCCTATTTCCCCTCCTGTTGTCCTCTAGAATTCCTCATCCCCCCCCCCAATTCCCATTTCCCCCCCAAAAACCCCAAATTTCCCCTCTGTTGTCCCATTTTTACCCCTGATGTCCCATCATCCCCTAAGTTCCTCATTTTCCCCCCATACACCCCATTCCTCCCCCCAAATACCCCATCTCCCCATCCCAAACAGGGGGATCCCTCCATACACCCCATTCCTCCCCCCAAATATCCCATTTCCCCATCCCAAACAGGGGGATCCCCCCATACACCCCATTCCTCCCCCCAAATACCCCATCTCCCCATCCCAAACAGGGGGATCCCCCCATACACCCCATTCCTCCCCCCAAATACCCCATCTCCCCATCCCAAACAGGGGGATCCCCCCATACACCCCATTCCTCCCCCCAAATACCCCATTTCCCCATCCCAAACAGGGGGATCCCCCCATACACCCCATTCCTCCCCCCAAATACCCCATTTCCCCACCCCAAACAGGGGTGTCCCCCCCTCTTTGTGACCCCCATGTCCCCCTATTCACCTGCAGTCCTGCGCCAGCTCCCGCAGCAGCCTCCTGCCGATGTCCCCCTCGGGGTCCCCAGGGGCTCTCCGGAGCTCCACCACGTTCTTCTCCTGTCGGGATTCCCCCCATAACCATTCCCAATGTGTATGCGTGGAGATGGGGGTCACCCCCCCCCCCATCACCCATGGGTGCTCACCAGCCGCTGGCACACGGCACGCAGGAGGTTTAGGGCATCCCAACGGTGAGCAGCATCCTCCCAAGCCGAGGTGACGGCCGCCACCGGCTTGTCCCCGTACCACGGCAGGTAATGGTAGTGGTTGCCTGCATCCAGAGGGCGTTGAGCATCCCATGGGATGCACTTCCCATCGCACCCAGCATCCTGCTCACCATCAAAGACGGGACACCCGTGCGGGGTGACGGAGGCGGCCGGCTTGCAGGTGACATCGCCCGTGTCCCCGTGGTTGCCCAGGCTGAGCTCGAAGCGCAGGAGCTCAGGACCCGCTGGTACCATGGTGGCCGAGTAGAAGACCCCGCAGAGCCCGAACCGGTGGCGGGGTAAGTGAGACTGGGGCAGAAAAAAGGGGAAAAATAGCCCAAAATGGTCAAATTCCCTTCAAAATAAAGCAGAAAGACCCCGGGGATGGCATCACCCACCTGCACCCGGATGATGTCCTCTGGGTTAATAGTGCCGCGCTGGTGCCCATCTGGGGTCCCCATATGGGTGCTGAGCTCCAGCAGCACCCGGCCCCGATAAGCCACGTTGGTGTCCTGTAAAATAAGGGTGGGGGTGGCTGGGTGTTGCGTGTGTCCCCCCCAAAATGGGTGCTGTCCCCACCCTGCCAATGCTCACAGTGCTGGATGTCCTGGCAGCATCCGCCCGGGGACCATAGAAGGGGAGGAAGCAGGGTCCGAAGCAGGGTAAGAAGCCGGGGGTCCCCTCTAGGGGTGAAAAAGGGGGGTGTAAAAGGGGGCGTTTGGGTGCTGGGGACCCCCCCCCCCCCCAAGGGTGCACCCTGCTCACCCTCAAGCTCAGCACCGGCAGAGGAGATGTGGGAGAGGTGAAGGGTTGCGGTGCCCAGGACCTTGCTGCTGCGGGGCCTATGGGTGGGCAATGAAAGGGATGGGGGGTCCCCCATCAATAGGGGGTTCCCCCAAAAAAGGGGGTCCCCCAAACCTGGGGAGGTGCTTAAAAGCCAAGGGGATGCCCCAGAAAATGGGGTTCCCCTAAAACTGGGGGGGGTTCCCCCTAAAATGGGGGAATACTCCAAAGCCAGGGGGGTGCCCCAAAAGCAGAGGTTCCCCCACTTACCCACTGAGGATGGCCAACTGGATCTCATCACAGATGGGGGGCAGCTTTGGAAAGACACAAAAGCAGGGTGGGTGGGGGGGGTGTTGAAATGGGGGTGCCCCCCACTTTTTGGGGTACCTTTTGGGGGGGGGAGGAACCTCACCCGCAGTGGGAAGAAGAAGACCTCGTTCCACACCGGGCTGGGGCCTGGGGGCATCACTCGGGTGCAGAGCTGCGTTGGTCAGAGCTATGAGCCCCTCACCGCGGCATCGGGCCTCCCCCCCCTTCGCCCCCCATGGCTCCGCACCCACCGTCCTGCCCGCAAAGCCGGCCCGCACCGCAGCCGCCACGAAGCTCCTCTTGCCTCCGACCGACGGGAGGCACTGCAGGGCCGGCTCCGCTGCGCCGGGATGGGGAGAGGTTGGCAATGGGGGGTGCTCGAGATCCAACCCCCCAAAAACCAACCCAAAACTAACCCAAAATGAGCCCAAAACCAACCAGAACACCCCCAAAACCAACCCAAAACCAACCCAAAACTCCAAACCAACCCAAAACCAACCCAAAACTAACCCAAAATGAGCCCAAAACCAACCAGAACACCCCCAAAACCAACCCAAAACCAACCCGAACCCCCAAACCAATCCAACCCCCCCAAACCAACCCAAAACCAACCCGACCCCCCCAAAACAATCCAACCCCCCCAAACCAACCCCAAACCAACCCAAAACTAACCCAAAATGAGCCCAAAACCAACCAGAACACCTCCAAAACCAACCCAAAACCAACCCGAACCCCCAAACCAATCCAACCCCCCCCAACCAACCCAAAACCAACCCGACCCCCCTAAACCAATCCAACCCCCCAAACCAACCCAAAACCAACCTGAAACCAACCCCAAATCAATCCAACCCCCCAAACCAACCCAAAACCAACCCGACCCCCCCAAACCAATCCAACGCCCCCAAACCAACCCAATCCTCCCCCCAAAAACCAACCCCAAACCCACCCAAAACTCACCCAAAACCCACCAACCCCCCCAAACCAACCCCAAACCAACCAACCCCCCCCAAACCAACCCAATCTCCCCCAAAAACCAACCCCAAACCCACCCAAAACTCACCCAAAACCCACCAAAACCAACCAAAACCCTCCCAAAACCCACTCAAAACCCTCCCAAAACTCACCCAAAATCAATCCAAACCCCCCCAAAACCCACTCAAAACCCTCCCAAACCCAACCCAAAATCAACCCCAAACCCCCCCAAAGCCCCCCCCAAACCCCCCCAAAACTCATGCAAAACCCACCCAAACCCATCTCCAAACCCTTCCCAAACCCACCCCAAATACTCCCCAAACCCATCCAAAACCAACCCCAAAACCCTCTCAAAATCCACTCAAACCCCTCCTAAACCCTCCCCAAACCCACCCAAACCATCCCAAACCCCCAGAGCCCCCCACCACCAGACCCACCCAGGGGCAGGTCCTCAGCGCGGTAGATGCGGAGCTGCAGCGTGGCAGCGCACGGCGGTGGCTGCAGCAGGTTGGCCTCCACGTCCTTGTCTCCCTCCGGCTCCTCTTGCTCCTTATGGAGGGGACATGGGACAATGGGGATCCCCCCCCCCCCCCTCCCACCCCACCCGGTATCCATGGGGTGTTTGGGGGGGGGATGAGGGGCTCACCAGCACCGGCTCTCCGGCACGGAGCACGGCCATGCTCACACGGAGGTACCCGCGGGAGCCGGTGTCGGGGCGCTGGGGATCCTGCAGGCTCAGCCACTTCCAGCTCAAGCTGTGTCCTGGGGTGATGGGAGACCCCATGGTCACCCTGGTGTCACCTCAGTGTCACCCTGCCGTCACCCCAACCCTCCCACCTACCCGGTGCGTGGTAGACGGCGCCGACGTCCAGCTGTGGGGATGGCAAAGGGGTGAGAGCTGAACCAGGATGAGGGGGGGGATGCCCCATACTCAAGTCGTGTCCTCACCTGGAAGACGCCGATGATGGCTTTGGAGCGGATGGCTTTGGAGTCCAGCACCTGTGACAGGAGGGGGGACACGGCATCAGGGCCACCCCAATGTCCCCATCCCCTTTGGTGTCGCCAATCCCACCCCGGACCTGGATGCGGATGGGCTCCATCAGCAGCTGCTCCGGTGCCTGGTGGAAACTTTGGCAAAACACCTGGAAAACAGGCAAAAAAGGGGGTGAGGGTGGAGCGAGGGGACAGCAGCACGTCCCTATGTCCCCTCCCCAGTGTCACCTCGTTGTAGTAGGGGTTGTTCCCCACACGGATCCTGGTCCTGAAGCGGTGCTGGCCGATGGAGACCGTCACCACCGGCTTGATGTTGTTGCCCTGGAGCTGGTGGCCCTCGATGATCCTCACCCGTACCTATGGGACAGGCGGTGACGCGGTGGTCACCGGGTGCGATGTCACCTCTGGGTACCACTGCACCCATGGGTGCCATACCTGGAACTCCTCTTTACTCCCTGCAGGAGGCTTGCTGGGAGGGTGCATGGGTGGCACCGGTGACACTGTTGGTGGTGGCACCCATCGTTGCACGGGGACCATGGCACATCCAGCCTTGCCGTGGGGGACGTAGGAGCAGTGAAGGGTGATGGTGCTCTGCAAAAGGACGGGTGGCACCCCAGGCCGTGCTTGTGGCACCCAGGGGTGCTGCTGGAGGGGGTGCATTGGTGGGTGCTCACCCCTGTGGGCTGCCCCTTGGGGTCCAGCAGCGGGACTTGGCTTAGGGACAGCGGCAGCTTGGGGTTGGCCACCAACTGGTCCAGTGACACCGTGGCGGCACCCAGGTCCCTGCAGGGCCAGAGGGGACAAGGTGAGGGTGCTCACACGATGGATGGTCCCCCCAGGGTGCCCACCCATGGGTGCTACTCACCCCCGGGATGCCGGCTGGCCCCAGTGCCGCAGGCGCAGGCTCAGGCTGGCCGTGGGGCGTAGGGGACGCGCACCCAGTGGCCATGCCAGTGTCTATGGTGGTGGAGGGGGACACACAAATGTGACAAGGGCTCAGTGGGGTGCCGTTAGCATCCCCGTGCCACCATGGGCCCCCCCCGGGGGTCACCTCACCTCATTCCATGTGGGGCTGTGCTCCTCTGGCACCACCCGGGTGCTCCTGGGGACGCCTGGGAGGGGGAACGTCAAGGGGGGGGGACATGGGTGCTGTCCCCAGGGATGGCTGGCACCATGATGCCACCCCGGTCCACCCCGATGGCTGATGCCACCATGGGGTGTTCCCCCCTTGGCCCCAGCGGTACCTCTGAAGCGGGCAGACACGTGTAGCCCAGGCCCGGAGCCGGTGGCCCCGGGGATGTGGGCATTGGCCACCAGCAGCCGCAGCATGGCCGCATCCCCAGTGCCACGATGCCACCCAGGCTCTGTCACCGCGGTGTTGTCACCATGGTGCTGGGATGCGTTCCAGAATGGCACCGGTGGCACCAAGCTGCTATGACCCGTGTCACCGCGGGTTGCTGGGTACCTCCAGCCCTGTGTTGCTGCGCAGCCAGGTCTGTGAGTGCCCATGTCCCTGCTGTGTCCACATGGGTGTCTGTGTGTGTGTCCTGCTCTCCCGGTGTCCCCATGCCCATGTGTATCTTTGTCACTGGTTACCATGCCCAGGGGTCCCCATCGAATCATGGAATCACGGAGTAGTTAGGGATGGAAAGGACCTTAAGATCATCCAGTTCCAACCCCCCTGCCATGGGCAGGAACACCTCACACTAAACCATGGCACCCAAGGCTCTGTCCAACCTGGCCTTGAACACCGCCAGGGATGGAGCATTCACAATCTCCCTGGGAAACCCATTCCAGTGCCTCAGCACCCTCACAGGAAAGAATTTCCTCCTTAGATCCCATCTAAACTTCCCCTGTTTAAGTTTGAACCCATCACCCCTTGTCCTATCCCTACAGTCCCTGATGAAGAGTCCCTCGCCAGCATCCCTATAGCCCCCTTCAGACACTGGAAGCTGCTCTGAGGTCTCCACACAGCTTCTCTTCTCCAGGCTGAACAGCCCCAACTTCCTCAGCCTGGCTCCATACAGGAGGTGCTCTTGGCCCGAGCATCCTCGTGGCCTCCTCTGGACTTGTTCCAACAGTTCCATGTCCTTTTTATGCTGAGGACACCAGAACTGCACACAATGCTCCAGGTGAGGTCTCACAAGAGCAGAGCAGAGGGGCAGGATCACCTCCTTCGCCCTGCTGGTCACACTCCTTTGGATGCAGCCCAGGACACGGTTGTTTTCTGGGCTGTGAGCACACACTGAAGCCGGCTCATGTTCATTTTCTCATCCACCAACACCCCCAAGTCCTTCTCCTTGGGCTGCTCTGAATCTCTTCTCTGCCCAACCTGTAGCTGTGCCTGGGATTGCTCCCACCCAGGTGTAGGACCTTGCACTTGGCATGGTTAAACCTCATGAGGTTGGCATCAGCCCACCTCACAAGCGTGTCGAGGTCCCTCTGGATGGCATTCCTTCCCTCCAGGGTATCAACCCAACCACACAGCTCGGTGTCATCGGTGAGCTCACTGAGGGCGCGCTCAATCCCACTGTCCATGGCAGCGATGAAGATGTTGAACAAGAGCAGTCCCAAACCCGACCCCTGAGGGACCCCACTCGTTCCTGGTCTCCAGCCGGACACTGAGCCATTGACCACAACTCTTTGCGTGCGGCCATCCAGCCAGTTCTTTATCCACCCAGTGCTCCATCCATCAAATTGATGTCTCTCCAGTTCAGAGACGTCTCTGTCCCCCTGTGTCCCCAGCTCTGTGTGTCCATGTGTCCCCATGGCACCACAGCCCCCATTTCTGTACCTGTTGTGTCTCCATGTCACTGCAGCCCATGTGTTCCCATGTCCTTGTGTCCCCACATCCCCATGCCCCTGTGTCCCCATGTCCCTGTGTCCCCATGTCCGTATGTCCCCATGTTACCGCAACCCCATGTCCCAGTGTCCCTGTAGTGCTAAGTCCCCCTGTGTGTGCCCATGTCACCGGACCCCATGTCCCCATGTCCCAGTGGCTCTGTGTCGCTGTATCCCCCAGCCCCATGTCACTGCATCCCCATGTCCATGTGTCCCAATGTCTTTATGTCCCCATGTCCCTGTGTCCCCATATCCCTGTATCCCCATGCCTGTGTGCCCCCATGTCCCTGTATCCCCATGTCCCTGTATCCATATATCCTCATTTCACTGTATCCCCATGCCTGTGTGCCCCCATGTCCCTGTATCCCCATGTCCCTGTATCCCCATGTCCCTGTATCCGTATATCCTCATTTCACTGTATCCCCATGTCTGTGTGCCCCCATGTCCCTGTATCCCCATGTCCCTGTATCTGTATATCCCCGTTTCACTGTATCCCCGTGTCCCTGTATCCACATATCCCCATTTCACTGTATCCCCATGTCTGTGTGTCCTCATGTCCCTGTGTCACTGTATCCCTATGTCCCTGTACCCGTATATCCCCATTTCACTGTATCCCCATTTCACTGTATCCCCATGTCCCTGTACCCCTATGTCCCTGTATCCATACATCCCCATTTCACTGTATCCCCATGTCCCTGTATCCCCATGTCCCTGTATCCATATATCCCCATTTCACTGTATCCCCATGCCTGTGTGCCCCCATGTCCCTGTATCCCCATGTCCCTGTATCCCCATGTCCCTGTATTCACATATCCCCATGTCTGTGTATCCCCATGTCCCTGTATCCGTACATCCCCATTTCACTGTATCCCCATGCCTGTGTGCCCCCATGCCCCTGTATCCCCATGTCCCTGTATCCCCATGTCCCTGTATCCATATATCCACATTTCACTGTGTCCCCATGTCTGTCTGTCCCCATGTCCCTGTATCCCCATGTCCCTATATCCCCATATCCCTGTATCCATATATCCCCATTTCACTGTATCCCCATGCCTGTGTGCCCCCATGTCCCTGTATCCCCATGTCCCTGTATCCACATATCCCCATGTCTGTGTATCCCCATGTCCCTGTATCCGTACATCCCCATTTCACTGTATCCCCATGCCTGTGTGCCCCCATGTCCCTGTACCCCTATGTCCCTGTATCCATACATCCCCATTTCACTGTATCCCCATGTCACTGTATCCCCATGTCCCTGTATCCATATATCCTCATTTCACTGTATCCCCATGTCACTGTATCCCCATGTCCCTGTATCCCCATGTCCCTGTATCCATATATCCCCATTTCACTGTATCCCCATGTCACTGTATCCCCATGTCCCTGTATCCATATATCCCCATTTCACTGTATCCCCATGTCACTGTATCCATACATCCCCATTTCACTGTATCCCCATGTCTGTCTGTCCCCATGTCCCTGTGCCCATCCCTAACCGCCCGCTCCGCTCCGCTCCGTCCCGCTCCGTTCCGTTCCGCTCTCCGCGCTTTACCCCCTCCCCTCCCCGCTCCGCCCCATTCCACCCTCCGCGTTTTACCCTCCGCGCGCAGGCGCAGGACCCGGAGGAGGGGGATGTGTCCGCGCATGCGCAGCGGGCAAGCGCGGGATAGGAGGGGCCTGTCGCGCCATGTCGCGACGGTAGCAGGGCCATGTCGCAGCGCGGGGGGGACCGGGACCGGGACCGGGAGCGGGAGCTGCAGTGGTCGGCGCGGAGGATGGGGACGTCGCTGCTGCTGCAGCTGTCGGCGCACGAGCGGGAGCTGGACCTCGTCTGCCTCGACCACAGCTACGCCAAGCCCTGGAGCGCGCACCCCGACGCCAGCGCCGCCCGGCCCACCCGCATGCTCTTCCTCACCCCGCGGCGCCAGCCCGGAGCCGGCCTGTGAGCGCGGCCTGCGGGGGATGTGGGGCTGAGGGGTCTGTGGGGGGGATGTGGGGCTGAGGGGTCTGTGGGGGGGATGTGGGGCAGAGGGGTCTGTGGGGGGGATGTGGGGCTGAGGGGTCTGTGGGGGCGATGTGGGGATGAGGGTCTGTGGGGGGGATGTGGGGATGAGGGGTCTGTGGGGGGGATGTGGGGCTGAGGGTCTGTGGGGGGGATGTGGGGCTGAGGGGTCTGTGGGGGGGATGTGGGGCTGAGGGGTCAGAGTGGGGGGGGGGGGATGTGGGGCAGAGGGGTCTGTGGGGGGGATGTGGGGCCGAGGGGTCTGTAGGGGGGATGTGGGGCCGAGGGGTCTGTGGGGGGGATGTGCGGCTGAGGGTCTGTGGGGTGGATGCGGGGCCTGTGGGGCAGAGAGGGCTATGGGGGGGGGATGTGGGGCTGAGGGGTCTGTGGGGGAGATGTGGGGCAGAGGAGCCTGTGGGGGAGATGTGGGGCTGAGGGGTCTGTGCAGATGAGGAGGACCCTGTGGGGAGATGTGGGGCCTGTGGGGCAGAGGAGCCTGTGAGGGAGATGTGGGGCTGAGGGATCTGTGCGGATGAGGAGGACCCTGTGGGACGCCTTGTAGGGCTGAGAGGCCTGTGTGGGGGATGTGGGGCTGAGGGGTCTGGGGACAGGTTGAGGGATGTTCTGTGGGGCTGAGGGGTCTGTGGGGATGAGGAGGGTCCTGTGGGGAGATGTGGGGCCTGTGGGGTTGACGGGCTTAGGGGGAAGATGTGGGGCCTAGGGGTGCCTGGTAGGGCTGAGGGGCCTGTGGAGGGGATGTGGGGCTGAGGGGTCTGGGGACAGGTTGAGGGACATTCTGTGGGGCTGAGGGGCCTATGTGGGGCTGGGTAGGGCCCCCCAGGGGTCTGTGGGGCAGGCTCAGGGGGTTATGTAGGGCTGAGGGGTTGCTGAGATGCTGAAGGGGATCTTGAGGAGTCTGTGTGGGTGCTGGGGAGGCCCTCAGGGGCCTGTGTGGGGGCTGAAGGGCTTGTGGGGCAGGTGTGTGTGGGGGTCTGTGGGTCTAAGGTACCCGTGTGGGTGCTGCGGTGTTCCTGAGGGCTCTGTGAAGGGGGGACTTGGGGACCTATAGGCTTGGGATAAGTAGGGCTGGGGACTACCCTGAGACATCTGTGTGGGGCTGAGGGGGTGTGTAAAGGGAGAGTGTGGGGCAGGGGGTTATCCTGTGGGCTTGTGGGTGCAGGGAGCTGCCGGGGCTCAGAGCAGGACCCCTGGGTTAGGGACCCTCAGTGCTCCCCTCCTCTAAAGCACCCCCGTGTTCCCGGCAGAGAGGCCGACGTGGTGCCCATCGACGTGGAGACGGTGACGCCGGTGGCCGTGCCGCTCTACGACAACCAGAAGGCGCGGAGCGTGATGAACGAGTGCGAGCGGCACGTCATGTTCGCCCGCACCGACGCCGATGCCCCCCCGCCGCCCGACGACTGGGAGGAGCACGTCAACAGGTAGCAAAGGGCAGCGGGGGGGAGAGCTGTGTCCAACCTGGCCTTGAGCACTGCCGGGGATGGGGCAGCCACA